AATGGTATCTCTATTTGCAACTTTTTGAGAAAGCGCCATACCGCTTTCCACAGTGGTTGCACCATTTTACACTCCCACCAACAGTGAATAAGGGTTCCAGACTCTCCACAACCTTGCCAGCATTTGTTGCTAGCTGTTCTGTTAAATTTTGCTATTCTTACTGGGGTGACATGACTCTGTACCACAAAATATTGGCTGACCAAGGCCCCCTAGTAGTTATTTTATAAATAGACACTGCCATCTAGTGGACAAAGTGTACTTCCAGCAGTACATAGCTTTTTCCCCTTTTAAGTACATAACCCTTTACAGAAATTAAAAAATATCCCCTTTCGTGTCTCTAACTCAATCTCACCTTGATAGTATCCATTTTTCCAATGAAAGCACAAAGCCTGGGACAATACAGACACTAAATAATTTCAGCAGTGGATCATTTGCAGCTATGGTAATTTTAAGTACACAAATAATATAGTAATATGGTTGGAAATAATTCCATTTGGCTTAAAACACAAAAAAATTGTCCCTTGATAGTTTGGAAATGCAAAATTTACTGGGAATTATAGTAATTACACTTTTTTGTTCATTGTTGAACATTTTCTTCCCCATCTCCTCTCCATCCCACAATGCATCCCTTGTTCTCATGTATTTGTTAAGCAATCTTATCACTGCCAAATAAATGCAGCATAAAACACCATGTAACTACTGGAGCAATGATTATTTTGCACACACCTCTTCCACCTGGTGAGAATTTATAGAATGAGAAACTATCCTTTTGTGACAACTTCCTTCCAAGTCATGCAGAAGTCCTTTTCGCACACAACATGAATGAAGGACAATGTGGAACACAATGAACCTTGTAAGCAAACTAATATGCTTTCCCTCATGTTGACTTTTCATATTTACACTGCAGAATTTTGAATAAACACACCATCCTTTAAAGTTGCTGTGCGCTATGCAGTCAGAACAGACTAATAGCTGTCCAGGTTTTCAAAGGTAGTAAAGCGCAGATTACCCACTCTTCTCCTGCGTTAACAAGCTGGTGGCCTTGAACCCTATGCCTCTGGGTTGCAGCGTTCTACCACTAGGCCACCAGAGGTTAAGAGAACCAACGTTGGAAAATTTAAAGCTATTTGTCAGCTGCACTTTAATGGATATACCTACATCCTCACCACTGGATCAATAAGCGACATCATGATATTAAAGATCAAAGTTGTCCAATGATTTCATCTTAGCTCCACTATCAACACCCTTTGTACCAGCAGTCAGGAGGTGAGATGGCATTGGCCAAGTCGGCTGTCAGGGACTTTTCCTAAATATTGAGCAACAATGGTGTTTGAAGACTAAGGTGTGCCTGATTCAAGTCATCTTTTCAATGACTTGCTATGTGTCTGATAGCTGGACAATGAGTAAGGATGACATGCCTTTGAGCTGTGGTGTTGGGAATAACAGTCCTAAATATTCCATGAATTACCCAAACAAATGTGCCTTGGAGAAAGCGCAGCCTGAACACTTGCTCCTTGGAGGTTAAGGATGGCAAAGTTTATCTCATATACTTCAGGCATGCTGCTAGGAGAGCGATTCCTTGAAGATGGATATTAGGTTTGCAAAGGTAAGACCCTTTACAAGACAGATTCAGTAACTAGAGCAATGGGATCAAGTGTCAGAGGTGATAGGATGGATGTTCACACAAAAGGTCACTATGATTATGACAACACCTGACAATCTTACCACTTTTTCCAAGCCTTCCCTAATCAATTTCAAGGCTATTTTTCACACAATACTCAAGTAGAAGACTGTCCATCTTGCTGTTAAGCAACAGAAAGATTCAAAACTGCTGGGAGGATTCAAACAGCTAGAGGCAGGCAGATTATGTATTAACCTACATGCAGCACCTGAACTTTCTTTTTCCCCCAACACCTAACTTTTAATATTTCTTCCCAGAACTATTATTCACATGTTCTAATATTTTTCGTACCTTTTTTATTGGAAGACGGCAGAAAAAATGCTTTTGCTTTGTGGCATTGACGAAGTGCTGTATACCTCAAGGGCTACTAAAATAACCAATGTCTTGCACTGACTACAGCCAGTGTGCTCCTCAGAGCAAAGGTCTGCAAAGTTGTTAGGACCAGTCCTTGGGAAAACAAGTTTGAGGGTAAGCAAGAGTGGACCCTCAACAAAATGGATCTGGACCAGTTAGTTTATCGTCAATGAGGTTGTTGGAAGACAGCATTCAGATCCATTGACCACAAATTTGAGTTTTAACTGATAAGATACCCAACTTATGGCATAATTAGAATCCAACCCTCTTCAGAAGAGCCAATGGGCTGTAACTCCTTGTGTCAGCTAGGAGGAGTGTGCTCCAGCTCAGTGGCATTGGTGGTGCTAGCTCCAGTGGCTGCATTTCGTTAATAAGCCCTGATGATCAATACCAAGACAAAAACTGGCAGTTTAAACCCATTTGATCCAAGCAGTCCGCTCCTGTGAAGATGACAACTTTGGAAACTATGGGACATTTAGATCAGTCTACAAAGACCTGTTTCTAAACATTAACTTAAAAGCAAGCAGCTGGTGGCAAACACCCCTGGCTGACCTACAAAGATACCATTCTATCAGGGAGCTTGGACATTTCTCTACAAGTTGGCGTTCTGCGGTCACTTGTGGTTGCCGTGAGGCTGAACCCTGTGACAAATGGTTGGCTACCCACTGAGAGTGGGGGTGGAGCTCCCTGATTAAACAAGGGTGGGAGGAGTGGCATCCACTTCCATAACAGCTTGCCTCGGAAACCCTATGAACTTGGAGGACGAAAGGCACCCAAGCCAAGAATCATGCCTAAATGCATACTGCAAATACTTTCTCTGGATTTTTCAGCCTACAAGTCATGACCCTAGATTTGAGTGGATACTGAAAATTGTTTGACATACTTTAGATCTTTACCACTTCTGGACCACCAGGTGGCAGTTTAATACTGTAACTGAAACCTTTAAGGGCAGACTGGAACTGCAGGGCCCATTTCCACTTTGAAGCGGAATTATTAGCACCAGTGAAAAAGGCATCACAATTCCAAGAAAACTGAGATAATGGTCGATTCTCAACTTTGCCATTAGACAGGGTTGTTTACTTAAAATGCCCATATTATTCACTTTTATCTACTCAAAATGCTGTCCTGTTACTGGGGGGTTAAAGATACATCCTACTACCAAGTCACCCCATTCCAATGCTTATCACCAACCACCCTTAAAAAGATCCTAGCACTACACCTCTAGATAGATGAACTACCTCAAAGACCCCATTTATACACAGCCATTTGTGCCTTTGTAATGAATCCTTTCTCCCAAGTTTGTATGTCATTGGTTTTTATTGCTAGTGAAGTATCTAATTACCTGTGATTGGCCTACCAAATTCATCTAAATTCTCAACTAAGTAACTTTAATGTAGATAATTTTTTGGAGAAGGCTCCTTAGCACTTTCACTTGTTTACCACCTGCCCCATTTAAACACTGAGTTAGACAACTGTTAATGGTGCCAATTTTAAATACATCTTTATTTGAGACATTGCATTTTGCACTTACAATACAGTGATAATAAAGTGCAATGTTAATTCCTTTCCCTCTACACATTCCATATTCAAGTATTGAGAATGCACAGAAATTTAGTCTAGCAGTTTAGACTTTTCAACTGCAGTGTGCTACAAATTTGGGTCCTTCGAAATTTTTTAACTGTGGGACAATGAATGCTATATAAAGTATGCAGATTGGTTTAGTCAACCTCTTCAATGGTGGGTCCAGAAGAGGCACCACCAGATGGAGGAGCTCCACCACCAGGGAAGCCCCCAGGCATGCCTCCGGGCATGCCTCCAGCACTCTGGTACAGCTTGGTGATGATGGGGTTGCAGACCTTCTCTAGTTCCTTCTGCTGATGCTCAAATTCCTCCTTTTCTGCAGTCTGGAAAAAAAAGGGAAGGGGCTTATTTTTTTAACAGTCCTGGAAGACAGGGCTATTTAAGTGGTACATCTGGTTAATTTACTGCATCACAAAAACCCTGGGTCACTCAGACATCCAAGGAAGGAAAGCCAACACAAGTCATTCTGGTGGAAACCGCGAATGTAATGGACCATTCATCACAGTGACCTTAACTTCTGTCTCCCTACTATTAAAATATTGTCAAGAGCACAAACCTGATTCTTATCAAGCCAGTTGATAATTTCATTGCACTTGTCAAGGATCTTCTGCTTGTCCTCATCATTGATCTTGCCTTGAAGCTTTTCATCTTCAACTGTTGCTTTCATATTAAATGCATAAGACTCAAGGGAATTCTTAGAAGGCTCCTTATCTCTTTGCTTCTCATCTTCAGCTTTGTACTTCTCAGCCTCCTGGACCATTCGTTCAATGTCTTCCTTACTCAAGCGGCCTATAGAAACAGAAAATTATGTCATTTTAAGCAAAATCTTCAGTGGTTTTAAAACTCTGGCTTTCATTTTACCTACAACCAAAATTGATGGCAGTCCCCCATATTCAGTCTTACCCTTATCATTGGTGATAGTAATCTTGTTTTCTTTCCCAGTGCTCTTGTCAACAGCAGAAACATTAAGGATACCATTGGCATCAATATCAAATGTGACTTCAATCTGAGGAACACCACGAGGTGCAGGTGGTATCCCAGTGAGCTCAAACTTGCCAAGCAGGTTGTTATCTTTGGTCATGGCACGCTCACCTTCATAAACCT